AAATTACTCCATGGAAGAGGAGATCAAGAACAGGAGAATCATAAACAGCTTTGATTTCATCTTTACTCCAATCATTTCTAGAACCTTCACGAATCGTCCTTTCAGCTTCAACTGAAGCTGCAGATGAGTAAGGACAGCAAGAAACAGATTGCAGAACCGAAACAGAAGGTCTCAACTGAGATCGAAATACAAATCGAGCAAGCATCATTTTCCGGGAAACTAAAACTTTCCGGGAAAATGTGTGAGAAAATAAAAGATTTGCAGTTCTTTATGGTTCACCCACCGTTGGAATTTCCGCCTCGGGTAGGCCTACGTAAATGGGCTTTAATGGGCCTCATGTACACATTCCAAAAACTTGGTGATGAAAACACATTTTTGGGTTCATAATAGGCGGCCCAAAAATGTTATTTGGCCCATACTTATTAAATTGGGTCTATATAAATTTTATGAAAATTGGCCCATTAATACACGGTTGAACCGCGGATTGGACACAGGGTTAACACGGTTTGGCACGCAAATCAAGATGATTTTATGTCGGTTACCATGACAAACCGTGTATTAACCGTATCCAAACCGTATGTTAACCGTTCCCAAACCGTGTATAAACCGTATCCATACCGTGTTTGACCCGTACCCCACCCGAATTTAAATATGACGATTGGGCCAAAAATAGTAGTTACTTAAACGAAGCCGTTTTGATTCTCTTTATAGTCTGGTCGGAGCCGCCGTGAGAGAGAGAGAGGTGAGTGGAAGCAATGAGCGGCGGAGGAAATAACGTCGTGAATAAAGTATTCTACGCGACGTCGTATCATCCGATTCAAGCCGGAAGTATCGACGGAACTGACATTGCGCCACACGATAACGGTGTCCGTCGAGCTCTCCTCTGTTATAACGCCGGTTTATGTAATCTCTCTTTCTCTTTACTGGTCTTCCCACTTTCTATTGTTTGTTCTCGGTCTCTGAATTGTAAAATTCATTGATTTGGGTCTGTTTTGGTGTTTCGGAAGATGATCCTTCTGGTGATTCGAAAGCCGCCGGAGATCCTTACTGTACCCTTTTCGTGGGTCGTCTCTCTAATCTTACTACGGAGGATACTCTTCGAAAGGTGAAAGTTTTTGTGTTGGATTCATTCGTATGAATTCAAGCTTTGGAATTTTCAATTAGTTTGATTGTTCTCATTATTGTGTTTCTTCTTTGCAGGCTATGAGCAAGTATGGTAGGATTAAGAGCTTGCGCTTGGTCAGGCACATTGGTAAAGTTTTTATCTTTAGGGAAATTTATGATCTTTCGGTTTCTGATGGCTTTGTTGCTTCTAGCTAGTTATTGTGTTAGCAGAACTGTGATGCTATTCTTGTTGCTTTTCTTAGTGACTGGTGCTTCAAGAGGATACGCTTTTGTGGAGTATGAGACTGAAAAAGAGATGCGTCGTGCTTATGAGGTGCTTTGATGCTGAATTGCATTTTCTTTATCGCTTGCTTTGTTCTTTTGAGCTTTCTGCAATGTGAACTCCCTGCTAAGCCACCTCAGTTCGATACTATATGAATGAAGTTTCGTAAGCATCTCTATATATATGCTGTTCCGGAAACTAGTGGATTTTGATTGTCAATATGGAATGTTTCTGGTGTGTTTTTGCAGGATGCTAATCATTCATTTATCGATGATCGAGAGATTATTGTTGATTATAATAGGCAGCAACTGATGCCTGGATGGATACCAAGAAGATTAGGTTCGTCATTCTTTTGTCTTAAAACAGATTTCCAATAGGCTTTACAGATTGTCATCTCTTATATTAATTAGGCCTTCTTCTCTATAAACAGGAGGTGGACTTGGTGGTAGGAAAGAATCCGGACAACTTCGCTTTGGTGGACGAGAGAGACCATTCCGCGCTCCGTTGTACGGTTTTGCTTTGCTCTTCTTCTACCAGTTTCAAAGATAACAGCAACACAAGATTAATAGTTTACTAACTCGTGAACCTTGTGATTATATGTTGTGCATTCTGTTTGTTACTATCAGGCGACCAATCCCTCATGAAGATTTGAAAAAGCTCGGCATTCAGCTTCCACCTGAGGGAAGATATATGTCACGCACACAGGTCTACCATGTCTTTAACTTTACCACCACTCTACATTCAGTCGAAGTTTGTCCCTGTTTCAGTCTCTAGTGCTATTTATATCTGGCCTTTTGTTCACGTTCTTCTGCTACAAGCGTGCATATTGATGGATTGCTCAGTGTGTCCAAAACTAAAAATCTCCGCACTATAACGTGGATGCAGATCCCGTCACCTCCTCGGAGAAAAGGAAGTGTGTCGGATAGAGAGGACGGATATTATAGGGAAAGGAGTTCTGTAGAAAGGGAAGAAGAGCATAGAAAGTCTCATCACAGTCATAGGAGGAGCTCACACACACAAAGTTCCCATAGAAGCCGAACGAAAGACAGAGAGGAAGGTTCCAAGACAGAGTCTCAGTCTGATAGAAGAGAGAGATCACGAGGCAGAGGAGATCGACATGGTGACAGTAAGGAAGAAGGTTATGGCAGCAGCAGAAGATCACACGACACAGAAGAAGAACGTTCTCTCAAACGTCATAAAAGAAAATGAATTTTAGTTTTTTTTTTGATGATTCTGCGGTAGGAAGAGCTGTAACCGATCAATTGGAAAAATGAAATTGAGAGTTGGAAGAAGCATAAGGCTATATCAAGGCTCATGCTTAGGCTTACTTTTTATCATTAGAAAAACACAATGATTTAGCTAGCAATCTCTACATATATAGAATTACTTGAGGCAAAGTTCTTAACTTCTTTCACAAACGTTCTTATCATTAGTTTCTGTTAGTCTCCAACCATGCTCAAATTGCAATTAGGTTCGGTTGATTTTGTTATCATTATTTCGAGATGGTCGGATGCAGACAATACATAGCTAAACATCATTGTTTAATCAAATCGTTACGAGGATACATTATCATGACCATCAACTCATAAATACAAAACGTAACTCATTGCTAATTCTCCTCAAGTCCTTATGCAACTTTGTTCAAACAGTTTTGTTCACTGCACCAAGACTCTCATCAATGCTTTGATCGAATATCATTTTCTCACCGGACTAACTCTTGCAGCTTAACCATCTTATTAGATTAGGTACATTTGGTTCGGTTTATTATTGGTTTAGACTTTTGTATAGCTTGGTTATCATACTGGTTTAGTTATACGTGTATATCATCAACACACTGTAATGCTTTGTTTACACTTATAACAGAAATATTTCCCAGATCTTCTCTCTCGAACTTCATCTTCTTCGTGAGAGATCCTCTTGTTTCTGTTCACTAATACATCTTATCGAAGCTTTTGGCTTCTGATCAGTGATCACCTTCCCGTATCTCAAGTATTTCTATTAGTACAAGTAGAGCATTAACGGCAACACTTTCAATGTCTGAAACAAACCAAACCTGTCATCTTCTAGAACTCAAAGGCCACTCATTTTCTTGTTATGGG